GTGGGGGGGGGGGGTTTCTGCCAGGTGAGCTGAGCTGCACGGCCATGACCTATTGTTGAGGGCGAACATTAGTAAGTGATAAAAGGGACAAGGTTTTGACCATCTGTCTCCAGGCAGTGGCCTGGAGGGGCCTGGCTTGGTCTACCGCCAGGGTCAGAGTGGAGGCTGCTTCCACCATCTGGGCTCGCAGCCGCCCGATGCAGGAGATGCAGCCCAGCCCTCAGAGAGCCTGGGTGGGAGGAGAGCGCCGTGGCCCTCGGGTGGCCTGGGCCAGACAAGGCAGCTGGACACTGTTGTCCAGGTGTGGCCATGTGGCTGAGGGGTGTGTCCTGTAAACAGAACACATGCACGAACATACGTGCTCTGACCCGGGACATGTGCAGAGCCTGTGAGCATTTGCCTGTCCGTGCCTGGGCGACGCCTGGCAGCTTGGCACTGAGAGCAGACGTACCTTGGGAGTGATGGCAGGACCCGTCGGAAGGGAGCCTTGGCCAGAGTACGGGCACAGGGGGCCATGGCAAGGGCTTTCCTAACACAGTGCCTGCTGCTGGCAGGAGGAGGGCTGGGCAGGGGACATCCCGGCTGGCACAGAGCCCAGTAGTTCAGGTGAAGGACCACCGTGCTGTGGCTGGGGTGGGGTGGAGGTCGGGGCTGGTGGCCCCCAGCCGAATGAGCCATTGTCACAACCCCTGGGCAGGGCAACGTGGTCCTGTGGAAGCCCAGTGACACTGCCATGCTGGCTAGCTATGCTGTCTACCGCATCCTCCGGGAGGCCGGCCTGCCCCCCAACATCATCCAGTTCGTGCCGGCCGATGGGCCTGTATTTGGGGACACCGTCACCAGCTCAGAGCACCTCTGCGGCATCAACTTCACTGGCAGCGTACCGTAAGGCCCTGTGGTGGGGGGGCGGGCGTGTGGGGGACCTGCCACCTAGTGTCTGCTCAGGGGCCGGGCTGTGAACCAGAGGCACTGACTGTACCCATTTCCTCGCTGTGTGGCTGCGGCAAGCCACTTGACCTGTCTGAGCCTTTGTTTCCTCATCTGTACAGCAGGAGTGCTAATCCCTGCTTTGCAGGATAATTGCAAGGACCATCAGTCTCCGAGCTGATACAGGAAAAAGCTTTCTAGGCTGGACTTGCAGCCTGCATGTTGGGCATCGAAAAATGCCACCCACCGCTGCCACTGGGAAGGGCACGGGGGAGCTTGGAATGGATTGGTGTCAGGAAGGCTTCCAGGAGGAGGTGGCCCCTAAGTGGAAAAGTAGACTGAGCAAGGGAGAGGGGTCAAGGGAGGAATCCTAAGAGGGAACAGGGCTCACAGAGGCCTCAGGCAGGAGTACACGCTTGTTCTGGAGCGTGGAGTCCAGGGGCTGCAGGGTAGGAGGTCGGAGGGGAGGGCATGCTTTGAGAGGAGGCACGATCTGGACCATCCGTCTGCTCACTGACTCAGCAGGTACAGGGTGGGAGGGGAGTCTGAAAAGTTCATGGAAAATATGTACTATGGAAGAACTGCATGGATTTCAATTTTTTTGCATCAAAATAAACTCATGCTTTAATTCCATTTTCCATGAGCTTCGAGAAGTCCCTCGTATTTCTCGAGCTCCTACTGTGCTGGGCTCTAGGCTCAGGCGGCAGCTGAGCAGTGAGTGAGCACCGTGGACAAGGTCCTGGCTCTCGGATTTAGTCCAGTGACTAAGACCCTTATGAATCTGCAGGGGTGTTTGGGCTTTATCCTGAAGGCTGAGGGAGCCAGACGGGTTTAAGTAGGAGCAGAGGCTTGATCAGAGTTCTATTTCAGGCGGGGATTGCGAATGATGGCCCTCAGATTGGTCCTGGCAAGTGGCCGCCTTTTCTTTGACCTCTTCTTGGGGGTGGTAGCGGATAGGACCTTTATTGCGCTTCTCCACCAGAGTGGGTATAATGTCTGTACAAAACTCAGTGTTCGCTACTGTAACTTCTGCATCATGAGAGCCCCAGCAGTTTTTAAAACACGGTTAACTCCAGCAACACCCACTGCTTTGGAATCAATGGCTCCTTTGAAGCCACAGAACACTTCAATATGGCTGAGACTTGAATGAGGACATTTGGTTGGCTGGAAAGCTAATTAAACTTCCACTCGCTCACGGAGAATTACAAAAGTGCAGAATTGCGTTTTTCACAGAGTTACAGTCTCCTGGAATCACTGAGGGCGGACAGCCGAGAGAGCTTTTAGGGTCCTGGGGAGTAAGGCGTCCAGGCGCCCCGTAGACAGTTTTCTGTTGTCCCTGTCTCCCCAGTCAGTTTTACGGGTGTGTGCAATGACCCCACCCCCAGCCACGGTAGCCCTGATGAGAATCCGATTTTTCATCTCCTCTGACAGCAAGTTGCAAGTGATGAGGGGTAACACGCTTTCCCTTCCGGTCTCTATGCATGCCTTGCCGGCTCGAGGGCCTCTGCGGGAGTCCCCTGGATCTCTGCCCTGTACACAGCGGCAGTCCTGGCCACCTGTCCGTGGCTGGTCGTTCTAGATTTCAGGTGTCGAGGAGTACAGCCCACTGGGAGGCATAAACCGGCTCTGAGAATGGAAACTGCCTTTGTCTTGGCCTTTCTGGGCCCTCCCAGCCTCGCCACCAACCATTTTGGATTCTGGCGAAGCTCCCAAGCAGGGCAGAGAACGGGCTCTTCAGACACACAGCTGGGGTGTCCCCCCCCCCGTCCTTCCTTGCACCACGATTCCAACTGCCTTTGTCCTTTGACACGTCATAGTGACAGCCCAACCTTGAAAAGCTGACCATCTCCTCTGAAACCCAAACGCGTGCATGTGTGGAGAACCCGAGGGCTCGGTTCTGCGCCGGCACCCGCCGTGGCATGGTTGTACTCTGCTTCTGTCCCCACCGGGCCTGGGTCTCTGCGCTTGGTCTGCCCCTTTGCTCTCCCACCCTGGACGGCCAGGCGCTGCATTCGCACCTCTAGGAGGTGCGAGAGGATGACTGCTCTGTGAAGCCTTGTGTCTGGAAGCAGGAGGCTGGTTAGGAGACCGTCGCCATCCGGGGAGGGCTGTGGGGCCTAGACAGAAACCCTGGGGATGTGGAGCAGGGATTCACGTGAGTTGGCAGGGCTGCTGTGGCCATTGCCTGTCCATGGACCGGGACAGGGGCCGGCTGCCCGTGGGACTGCCCAGGCTTTGGGCTCCACAGCATGGGGACCAGGAGGGCAAGCAGGCATGGCAGGAGATGGAGCGTGTTTGGCTACCTTGACATTGAGGTGCCCACAGGTCACCTGGAGATGTCTAGGTCTACAGCCTGGGAACTTCCAGGTGTCCCTGGGGACACCTGCAGAGGCTTCTCACCTCTTCTGTCCAGCCTCAGGCTGGGCCACCACGTTTCCCCCAGGGTTTGCCGGGTGGCAGTGGCCGCACTGGAATTGCTGAGGAGGGCCGTTTTCCAAAAGGCCTGCGCTGCCAGCTGCGGGTCCCGGGTCCTTGCCTGTTAGCGGGCCGAGCGGGCTTGGCCCCCATTTGCCACGCTCTGACGAGCAGCGGGCTGGAAGGTAGGAAAGTCATAAATTAGTATTAGCTACTGTGTCGCTGGCTCCCGGGTGATTAGCATTTTTATTGTTTTGTGGTACTGAGGTTGGTCACACTCGGAGCCTGGGAGGAGGCCTCCAGGGTGGCAGCGTGGGGTGGGGGCTGCGCTCCCTCTCCCAGGACCCTCCTCGGCTTGGCCTCTCAGGGCTGGGTGCTGGGCCAGGAATGCTTCTGGCATACTGCAGCAGCATCTGTTCCCTCACAGGTACCGACCTGTGCCCAGGACAGTCCTAGCACCTGACTCACCCGAGAGCTAAGTACAGAACAGCCCTGCCAGGTGGGGAGCGTGCTCTCCAGTTTGCAGATGAGGCTCGGAAATGGAGGCTCAGTGAGCCTAAGATCACACAGCCCTGGACCAGCAGCTGGCATAATCGCTGTCGCTGGACTCCCACATGGTCGACCACGGTTTGAGTCCCAGACCCAGTGGCTTAAACTCGTGCCGGGTGCATGTGTGTGCATGCCCAAGATCCTGAGAGGAGAGATGGAGAAGGGATTGTGGCGTGGCCATCCCCCCTGGGGGGTGATTTTTCGCTTTCTGTCTCTATGTCTCTCTCTCTGTCTTCC